ACCCAAGAGACCCAGAAACCACTGACGTTACACGAGGAGCCAGAAAGGCTCACGAGCAGCTGCTTCATCTTTAAAGGGTTCGTTTCTACAAATTCATCCCATGTTTGTGTTTTTTTATGCTAAATAAAAGTGTGCGAGCTGGTTTTTGATGCAAAGAATTTGTACATTTTCGAGTTGTGCTTTAGATTCTCTGTTGTTACTGGTTGTTGATAGCAGGCCAAGCTGCACACACACACACACGCACACACACACACACGCACACACACACACGCACACACACACCGCTCCTCCTCTCCAGGAGCTCATCGTGTTTTCCGCTGAGTCGACAGTCAGCTGCGAGCGCGGCCATGTGCTCGTCCTCGCAGATTTCCCAGAAGGCCGCAGGCAGCGTCCTGGGACGGAGGAGACGGGGCCCGGCCGTCTCCACGGCGACGCGGTGAGTCACCAAGCGGAGCCTTTATTGCTTTTGTTCTCCTCTTCACTCAGACTAACAACGGTTTATTAGTCGTTAGAAATCACCGTCTGTCACTTCACCTCACGGGTTTGTGTCTCTTTAGCTCAATGACTCTAATTGTTCCTGATTCTGGTTCAGTGGTTTACTTTAGTTAAGTTTCCACCATAGTTTTCCTGAGATCACTTAACAAGGTTCAGGATTTGTTTGTCTTCTGTCGTCGGGCTTCTCAATGATGTTTTCTTATATTTTTTTGGGACTGTCTTCTCGTTTCAGATCATAACCTCCAGTTCTCTGGACCGTAGAAGTCTATATCACTAACTGTGATTAATAAAACTTTGTCTCATTACACGCGTGTTATTTTAAGAATAAACACGTTGCCTGACGTAAAGACACAGCGCCCCCCCGTCCCCCCCGGTTCAACGTCCTCTTTTGTTCCTGTGTTCAGACAGTCCCCAAATAAACAGGAACCTGCTGCTTTCTGGACTGAGAACCGCTGAGGAAAGAACTTCCGTTTGTTCATGAGTGTCGCACATACGTGTAATCGTTCACACGTATTCGCACAGTAGATCCAAAATATTAGGTTCTACACAACGGCTTCATCGTGCACATGGACCTGCAGAAACACGCACTGTGGATAGAAACGCACACCGTGGATAGAAACGCGCACTGTAGATAGAAACGCACACTGTGGTAACGGGGTTCATGCTCCAAGGGAGGATGTATCTCGCGCTCCTCGATGGCGGCTGGTCGAGGCTCCTCGCTGGAAGTGACGTGGAAGGTGTTTTTTTTGGTTCAGGAAACAAAAGACAGATCTGCGTTTGTCGGACACGTCCAACGCATCAGTCCCTCGCTATGTGGATGAGCCACAGAGAAATAATATCTACGAATGACAGCTCGTTCCTTTTTGCAACCTTCGCTGTGAATGCTGGGAGGTTCTGTGGGACTCGGTACAGCCCTCGGTCCTCATCCTTTCCTGATCCAAGTCAACCCACGCCGGGCCTTTATTTTGAAAGACAGACTGAATATTTCTGTGAAAACAGACGTTTATTTTGTATTCTAAAAAAATAAAAGCATCACAGTGGACAGAAACAGGGACTCAGGAGACGCTTCTCGAGCCAATCGGACCAAACTCGCAAAACGTGTCCTTCAAGTGCACATTCAATAAGGATTCTCTCGTCCTCACGTCTTCGTCTCTTATTCGTCCCTCTGGTTCTGCTTCCTGTCGTCTCCCGGAAGCCGCCGGACCAAACGGCCGCGTTGGGAAACCTGTGACTCCCTCCACTTCTCTGCGGGTCTGTTTTTGCACGTTATTGGACGGCGCGGCGCGTGGAGCGAAGAGGCCTTCGGCGTTGATCGAGGCCTGCGGGGACCTGTGCATCGCGGCCAGGCCGCTCCAACATGGCGACGGCAGAGGCCCTGAACCGGGGTTCATGACCGCGGCCCACAAGCCGCCGTGGGGGGGGGGGAGACGCCATGATGAACTGCGTCCGTAGTGGTTGTTTGACTGGGCTGAGGCTCCGCCCCTAAATCCCGCCGAGTTGCCCTGGAAACAACAACGTCATCCCTGAAATTCACTGAAACTCTGCTGCACTAAAGAAGTTTTGTCCGAGATGATTGAAGTATTTACGTCACGTCGGGTCTTTTGATTCGATCAGAACTGAACCCGGCGCCTCTGGAGGAACAACAACCGGGGGCAGGAAACAAAAGTCAAATCTAGGTGAAGTCGTACCGGCCAATCAAGATTAAGACGTGTCAAATGATCTCAATTCTATGAGGTGAGAGGGAGGAACTTTCCCCCAGACAGGATTCAACGCTGCAAGTCTCTCAAAACGTTCAATTAAAACGACGCACTTGAAAAGGAAGAACTTATTTTAGAGTATTGATTGAAACATTTCATTACCCAAAATGGATGTGGAGCATTTATAAGATTCAACGTGTCCCGCGGAAGACAAAGACGATCTAAATTTATTCCAGTTCTGGGTCACAGTGAACTGGTTCAGCTGGGGGAGAATTATAACTACTTTTCCTTATGATAAAGGTGTTTTTTTCTTTTCTCTAAGTTATTTTTTCAGGTGACAATTATCCTCCTGGTAGTATTTACACACAATGGCGAGTAGTAAGATGTCTTATTTGTTGGTTTTGATTATTTAATCCGCTTATACCTTATTTCATTAAATTTTAACTGTCTTATCTTATTAACACATTTATAGTTTTGAAATATCTAAATGTTGGTTTACCATGTGAGGCACACGTCACTTTTAAGGTGTGTGGTAATAAACTGGAAGAAGAAAAGTTTACTATTAAAAGCCTTTTTTTGGGGTTGACATGTTTTTTATATTTGTTTATTCCATTTATTCATAAGAGTTTTTTGTCCTTTTTTGGTTCATCTTCCTTTTATATCTTTTAATGTTTAATTGTCCGTAGGATCGAATGAGATTCTAGTTACAGACACACGTACAACCAATCAGTTTTGTTTTTGCCTAAAAGGGGCATTAAGGGAATTAACTAGAACAAATCAATGATATGAATATGCAGAATATACAGAAGAATTCGAGAAACGAATGTTCATAAATTCCTGGAGCCGCGCGCGGCCGAGTGAAGCTACCGGGTGACGTCACCGCCCCCTAGCGGCCGTTACACTGAAGTGCAGAAACTTTTCTTGAGATTGGTTCGAGTATTTTGACATCATTCTAATTTTTTACTTTATAGGTTCTATATTTTACTACTCGCCACCTTCTAAATTAACATATTCAGTTAATAAAAATTAATATTATTGAAAATTGACTGCTCCTCACTACGGGTGTTCAAACTACTACTTTTAAGGAATTCCTATCTTTGTAATCCTTTTACTCATGTTGTGTCTGTAGTTGTGTAATTGTAGTTGTCATTTTGGTTCTCCTTTTAGTAGTTGTCTTGAATCTCTTTGTTGTCACTTTGAGTCAAGTCTCATTAATTTCATTTTAGGTGTTCATAGTTCCCTTGCTTCTTTTTTTTAAGTCACTTGAGGTTTTTTGGGTTTCCTTATGGTCTTTTTGTAGTCGTATTGAATGTTCTAATAGCTTCATTGCATTTCTTTATAGTCTCATTGCATCTCTAGGAGGTGTCATTGCATCTTTTAATCTTCTCATTACATGTTTTGTAGTCTAATTGCATCCATTTGTATTCTCATTGCAGGTCTTTTTAGCCTTATTACATGTAATGTAGTCTCATTGCATGTTCTGAGGTCTCATTGCATCTCTTTGTGGTTTTAATGCCTCTTTTTTGCATGTCGGATATTTCTAACACGGTTCGGTTATCACTGCATGCACATACAAACATAAATGTAGAGATGAGAGAGCAGACTGTCACTGGCTCGTACTGTATTCACAAATCCATACTCCCTCACACACACACACACACACACACACACTGAGCACTGCTAGTTTTTCAGCAATCAATGAGTTACACATTCTGCTCTCCATCAGTCACCTCTGACGTCACGCTCTGGTTTGATTTGTTGATCGAGTGACTGATAACTATCTGTCTGGTCTTGTGTAACTCTTCACATTCACTAAGTCTTGTTCGCTCACTCAGTTGATTTGGGGCCATTTATGACATTTTACCTACAACATGCTTATAATATCTTTTTAGTTTTCTGTGTTGACTCATTACACTACTGACCAAATTATTGAGGGAAGATGAGTGTTTGTTGTGCACCCCTGTGTTGCATAATGGCAATAAATTAACTTTGAGCTGCTGAAGTTCACAACAAGCATCAGAATGGGTCAAAAGTGATCTGAGGGACTTTAGTGACATTGTTGGTGCCAAACAGGCCAGTTTAAACATTGCAGAATTTCCACGCATTAGACGTGTTATTTTCACCAAAAGTGAAAGACAAAGAGAAAATATCAAGTGAATGGCGGCTGTTCTTGGTTGAATTGCCTCGTTGGTGGCTGAGGTCGGAGAAGAAGGGTCACTTTGAGAGAAGAACTTTAAAACAGGTGCGAAAAAGCATCCTTGAACATACAACATTTGAAACAGGAAACCGAGGCTGCACCAATAGAAGAATGGTCTGATTGGTCAATACTTCTGCAACATTCAGATGGACGGGTCAGAATTTGGGATTGGAGAATACAAACCTGCTGTAAAACTGAAATGCTATTGTAGTTTATTCAATGCCTGTACTAGAATGATATGAAAAAAATCCACTGTCTCACAAATTCACTGTTTATTTATTATTAAAATTCCCATTTAAATCAGAGCCAAGCATGTGGAAAACACATTTTGAATGAAAGCGACTGCGTCTTAGTTGTTGTTTTATGTGGTGGTGGTTGTAGACCAGGAAGTAATAATGAGAAATGGAATAAACAGAAAATCAGTGTAGCCGAAGCCACACCGCGCTGCGTCAGCTGACTCGATGGGGAACTCAGAAACGACGGCAGCCGCCTCGTGGAGACAGTTGCCACGGAGACCGGCGCACGTCATCTCGTAGCGGTTGCCATGGTCCTCTCTGACGTCAAAGCCCCTCGCAAGATGCTCAGGAAACCCCCTGGCGCGGTCGCCATGGATACTGGCGGGGGGAGGGGTGGGGTTTAGAGGAAGCGGAAGTGTCAGAGCAGGCGGAAGTGGTACTGCCCTGAATACCCTGAGCAGCGAGCGGAGGACGGCTTGATAAACTCCCATCGTTCAGAGACTAAAATCGGGATTCCTTGTACGCTCAAAATGTGAGTTCACCGCCATAACGCTCGATGATTGTCTTGTACACGGGGTGAGGGCACACTTTGGGCGGTAAGTGCCGCCCCAGCGACGGCCCGATTCGCTGCCTCTGCGGCGGAAGGTGCCTATTGTGGTTTGGGGCTGGGTGCGAGGATTTAGGCCAAGACCAAGTCGCGAAAAATAACCCGTAACAAAATACCTGACTAGAGGTCGCTCGTACCATTGTGTTGTATAACGTGCGTTGGATCGTTGGTTTTTTTTCTTTTTTTTTGGAAGGCCTGTGCTCCGGTCGATACCACGCGTGGTGCGCCGCCACCGTGTAGGGAGGGAGAAGCAAGCGGCACCCAAGTTTGGCCATTTTGACAGCTTAGCCGCAGCCGTGCCCCGGCCGTCGTGAAAGCGGTCTTTTTTTTTTTTTTCGAGCATCCAATGCTAACGTAGAGCCAGTATGTGGCACGGTGGAACGCGTGAGGCCAGTACCAAGCGGCTGTTAACACCCGGATTAGCGGCATAACTTGGCCTCGTTATTCCCTTTAACTGTAATTAATTACGATGCCTGTAGCTTAGCTCCGTTATGGCGTAGTGAAACGACACGGAGGCTAACGCACCCTCCCCATTTCCCGGGGGTTTCCTCTCAGAAAATGCGATTTAAATCAAAATAAATTTCTACGTCGCACAACCGGCGGATGACCGCGGATAAACTGAGCCGACGTCGTATTTAACCCTCCAGATATTTTAACTCGACGCCCGGAACATGACGTGCGGCCGTGCGGATTGAACTGGGTCAGCTCCCGCTAGCGGCTAAGCTAACGGTTAGCTAAAGCCCAACAGCCGTGCAATGACGTCCTGTTAGCACGGTAGCTAGCGCTAATCTATCTCTCCATCTTAAAATTCCGCAGGGGAATGCGACAAGGAGGGCGTAGTTGATGGCCGGCCGACTAACCGATACTACCCGAACACACTCGGCCTAGCGGGCTGTTTCTAATCCTGCTTTGACCAGACGTTCGCTGTCTTTTTTTTTTTTTTTTAGGGTGTGGGGGGGTCGTTTTATCTCGGCTCTGTTGAAGATGGTGTACCCCATTTTTTCCCTCTCGGTGCGCATACGCTTGTTAACCTCTAGTAGTCGGCTAGCTGACGGCAGGATGGACGGCGGTGCTAATGTGGGAAACGTGCCAGATGATTGTAGTATTGGGGGGTGGGTGAGATTGGGGGGTGGGTGAGATTGGGGGGAGCGTTTTTTTTAACCGTCGTGCGGTTTCACTGCGGCGCTTAATTGAGATTTATTTTGTGCTGCTTGTTAACCGCACTGAGCGTCGTTTAGCTCAAATGCTAACTCGAGGATGCTAAAGTGAGGCAGATTAGCTTCGGAGGGCACAGCCCGGTTTGTGGTAATGACGGCACCGTGTGAACGCCACATGCCGCCCGGACACTCGCTTCCTTTCCCCCGTGCTCGCACCCTCCTCTCTGCTCGTGTAGTCGCCGCCGCCAGTGGTCTTTTTGAAGGAAACACCCCGGCGATGAACGTTACATCATTGAACGCGGTAACGGCGGGTCAATGGAACAAATCAGAACTTTAATAGGAATTAATCCCAACACCTAAAACACGATGAGGTCCTTTAGACAAACACGAGCTGAGCGTTATTTAATTAAAGGAAATCCAACCTCAGTCACCCTTTCATAATGATTTATTATAAAGGTTTCTCCGTGTGTTGGGTTGTCTAATTATACAGTCTAAAGTATGTAGTAACCTTTTGTCAAGTAAATATGTTGGCGAAAGCACCGACACACCTTCTCCTCACGTTCCTAAAGTCATTTCCAAACGAAAGTTCCTGCTGACAGGATGACCTTTCACCTCTCAGGTGACTAACGCGCTGTCACCAGTAGGACTTGTTGGTTTATCATTTGTCATGTAAATAAGCAAATCAAAGGCAAAAGGGTGGTGCGTTTTCTTCCAATTGTTTGACCGTTGGTTAAAAATGACATTACAGTTATTTCTCTTTAAAAGGTTTATTTTACATGAGTAAACGCCATCATTTTTATAATTGTTATAATTGGTTTGGGTAGTTCAATTTATAATCAAACTGTTGGCGGTTGCTTTATCTTATAATCATTTGGGTGTGGTTTTATTTTCTTTAAATTGATGTAATCAAATTTCCTGCTAAAATCCCTTTTCCACTTTCAGATCAAGACTTGAAACAGAATGCAAAACGAACACTGGTGAAAATTCAGGTTTCTTTCTAATCAGTGTTCTAATATTGGAATAAATGGGTATTTAAATGTATTGTGACCCAATACGCTACTGCTTAAGCATGTCTAGTTTTTAGGTGAAAGAATGTAACTGAAAACTAGTCAGATAATTGATTTTGCGGTTCTTCACTGGAGCCGTGCCATCGGTGCGCTGAGTGACCAATAATGGGCCTTCAGAGCCTAAAGAGCCACAGGAAGCCGGATCAAACCGTTAATGACGAGATATTCTTTGTTTTCCTCTTCAGTTGAGTGGAATGTCTCCGGTCCCGCTGTCATAAATATCAATGTGTTGACCAGAGATATTAAAGGGTACAACAGTATGTCAAACCCTAATGTTTCTGTGACATTTAGGGTCATTTCCTTTTCGTCTGATCAATTTAATGATAATCAGTCGTTCACAAGCAACAGCTGGTCAATTATTGACTGAGGATTACTTTAACACAATGAAGACAAACAGATGCACACTTATCTGCTGACTTGAATAAAATATCGAATCAAAGCTCTTTTGGATGTCAGGAGAACATGGCTGACCCGGTGCCACCTAGTGGCGGTTAAGAGGACTTCATGATGTGCAGTTGTTGTGCATAACAAACAAAATTCCCCCAAAAATAGTTTGAAATGCAGAAGATCATAAAAAAAATGTCTCCAAAAAGACCAGACTGGAAAAGTAGAGCCACCAACAGAGCTTTGATAAGACACTGTCCTGTGCTTCATAAGTCAGCAGCACAGCAAGCGATGCACGATGTTTGTATAACGTTTATATAAAGCATCTTTTGAATTGCAGGCAGCAAACGCCAGAACAGGTAGCAAGTGAACTGAAAGCGTATCTTTTGGCAGGTCGTGATGAAGCGTGTTGGCATATCACCCCCGGGGGGGTGAAGTCCAGGGCACAAATGCAATAAAAGATTTCCAAGACTTGGAGTTGAGAATTTATGGCAGGACTTAACTTGCTGTTCACTTTTTTTGTAAGACCTTAAAAGATCCGGTTGGGCCAAAGCTGCTTCTGTGGGGACCCAAATGATGACTTTTCTTTTTTTGCAGTTCTCAGCAATCATTTATACAACAACAGAAATCCAACCTGGGCTATTTTAGTCTTTTTGGAATTCACTCCCAAGAATTTGATTTGCTATCAATAACTCATTTTATTTCACTATCAGTGTCAATTTAACATGAGCGGCCCCTGAAGACGTTCTTTCCCGCAATACAGATTCCCAACAAAAACGGAGCTCGAACGCATTGTCAGTGGACTCGTTGGAGTTGGTGGGAGATGGAGGCTGTGGCCTACTTAGACCCCCGGATTCATCCCGCTACAGGCAACCCTTAAGGGACGCAACAACTGGGGGGGGGGGGTCCGGGACAGAAAGGCCTTGTGACATTTTACGAGGCGCCCTGAGGTCTCCGCTTGTAAAATGTCGGCTTTGGTTAAATTAACGGTTAACTAACTGGTTAATGTGTGAAATGCGCTTCTCTGTAGCTCCAATAACTAGATCAGCATCTGATTTTGTTTCATGCTTCTGGATGGTTTCTGATATTATGACCAGTGACTGCTGAGTAATTGGCTTTTCCCCAACTGCTGTTTTAAGATATGGAATATATGATATACTGAATATGGAGGCGTGCGCTCGGTTATTTTGCACTAGTGCCGTGTTTTCTCTCCAATCCCCGTCAGACGTGTGCTCGCTGGGCCGCATCCCTCGCACTCGTCTTCGTATCGTTCTAATCGCCACTTAGATTTTTCTTGCTCGTTCCAGCTGGTAAACGGAGACACTAACTCTGCCCTCTTTCCCCCCTCACAGCCTAAAAAATGGATAAGAACGACCTGGTGCAGAAAGCCAAGCTGGCTGAGCAGGCCGAGCGCTACGACGACATGGCGGCTGCCATGAAGGCGGTGACGGAGCAGGGCCTGGAGCTCAGCAACGAGGAGCGCAACCTGCTCTCCGTCGCCTACAAGAACGTGGTACGCAGCGCGGCCTGGCTCTCACCTTCTGCCCCGTTTGTTTGTTTGTTTGTTTTCACCCCAAAGCCGCTGAAACCAGTCCGCTGTGGATTTGGTTCAATTCAGAGCTTTCTGAAATAGATTTATAAATCTGCTGGTTTCCTCGCCGACGGGACTCAAACGAAGCATAAATTAAAAGTTAAAGTTAAAAGAGCTAAAACGATGTTTTCCAGTCGCACAGCAGCGACATTTCAGTCATTACGGCAGCAGAGTTGATGTAAGATGAACAAGAGGTGAAAGTATGACGCTTCAGACCTGCTTGCTACACTTTCATCAAACATCATTAAAGATAATATTCAACCAAAAATGTAATCCAAGCACGAATGAACAAATAAAATACTGTAATACGCTTTAAGAGGCCGATGAAACGAATCCTTCAAAATGCAACGTGACAGAAGGAAGCGGATCGTCTCCAGGCAACAGACGTTTAGGGGAGAAGCGCTGCGTCCGCACGCAGCCGGGGGGGCGAATGTATGAAATCAACAGATTAAGAACCATTTTATTATATTCTAAGTGGTTATTTTCATAAACGTATGAATGTATATTTACACATTTCACACATTCTCAGTAGTTTTATGTGTTGATCAGTGACCCTCCAGTCCTACGTGCTCATGTTAGCCACTTAACAAGATCCCATTTATTTTTTTATAATAAAATATAAAAAGAGCTCCTCCCTCTCACCGTTATTCATAATAAGAAATACTCGTGTTGCCAGTTGTAGTCAATTTATTACAGCCACACATCGGTGTTTTATTTATAGCATTCACACTCTTACAAAGTGGATCTTTAGCTTTCTTTCTGTAATATGCGCAGTCCAGCTGCACCGCTGTAGGATGAAGACGTCTATTTATAAAAGGAGAAATTATGTAAGCGCAGCCTGAGGTTTGTTTCAGCGCTGCTGCGCCGTTTACCTCAGCAGTTGTTCTCAGGACTTGAGTGTTTGGATGAATGTGGAATCATCCAGATGCTTTGGGGCTTATTTGGTTTCGATCCGAGCGACATCATGTATTGCGTACTGCAGTGAAATGACAGCGTGCCATCAGAGGGGCCTTTAATGAAGCGATGACGCCGTCCTTGTATGCGGGGAAATCATTTCCACTGAATCTGTATTCCAGCCGTGTGTCTGCAGTTCTGTGTGCGTTTAGAGATTCCGTCCTTTTAATTGGAGGTTTTTTTTTCATGCTGGCAGGTGGGGGCCCGCCGCTCATCCTGGCGCGTCATCTCCAGCATCGAGCAGAAGACTGAGGGCAACGAGAAGAAACAGCAGATGGCCCGCGAGTACCGCATGAAGATTGAGACTGAACTCCAAGACATCTGCAAGGATGTGCTGGTACGGGGGGGCAGTCACTGCATAATGATGGGAATAAATATGAAAGCATTTAAATCAAACATTGAATGATATCAGAACAAGACATTGACATTGTTATTGTGGATCTTGAGGGGATGAAGGAGGAAAGCAACACGGAGCAGAGCGGCTCTTAAGTGCTCGTAGACGTTATCGGTATTTGCTGCCCAGAAAAGGAGGCTTAGCATCTACTTTGTGACATTGAGAAAGCGCTGAGAGGATGAAACCGGATCCATAGTCTGATGCATCGAGGCGCAGCTGATGTGACGATGACTCTGCGTTGTGTCTGCGGTTTCTTTTGAGATGAGTGACTTCACATCCATCAGTAGTGGAGCGTTCCTGACGTACTGAACTACGGACTAGACTGGAACTTTAAAAACTAAAGTACTGTACTTTATTTTATTTTTTTTTAAATCCTCCGTCAGTCACCAGCTCCGATCCACTTGAACATGACTGAAGAAAGACCTCGCGCACAGCCAGGTCCCGCCAGAGGTCACCGTAGGAATTCCTCAAGGTCAAACCAGACTCCGAATGTAGTTAATCTTCCCTGCGCCTGAGCAGACGTCTAATATTATCTCCAAGGTCAAACCTCTGCAGTGAGGTGACGGAGGGAGGGACGCGCCGCCCTTAAAGCAGCAGGACGGAGAATTATTTGAGTCGTCTCGCTGCCTGTGCAGGTTTTCTGTGGTCTTGGTTGCTGGGATCCGTGTCTGTTAACCTCACCAGTGCTCGACATTTGGATCCATAACTTCTATCTTCTCCTTTTGCCGTATGTAGATTTGTCTAAACACTTCCTGTTGTCTCGTGTTTCAGAATCTGCTCGACAAATTCCTCATTGCCAACGCAACTCAGGCGGAGAGCAAGGTGTTCTACCTCAAAATGAAAGGAGACTACTTCAGATACCTGTCGGAAGTGGCCTCCGGGGACGCAAAGAAGGGTGAGCACGTTACTCAGACGCTTGACTCGGGCCGGGGCACCTGGGTAATCAAACAGATGTCCATTGCTCGGGGGTTCATTTTTCCTTCTTAATGAACAGAAACGTACCTAAATATTGCACCGATGCCGTAGTAGAACTTTATTAACGTCTGAAGAAGCATCCAGTCTACTGCGCAGCTTTTACTACAGTTTATTACGCTGATTCTCATATTGAAAATCAGGATAGCTGCTAACGATTAGCCTCACGCGGCGGCTGGCGGTTAGCCTCACGCGGCGGCTGGCGGTTAGCCTCACGCGGCGGCTGGCGGTTAGCCTCACGCGGCGGCTGGCGGTTAGCCTCACGCGGCGGCTGGCGGTTAGCCTCACGCGGCGGCTGGCGGTTAGCCTCACGCGGCGGCTGGCGATTAGCCTCACGCGGCGGCTGGCGGTTAGCCTCACGCGGCGGCTGGCGTTGCTACCTTCATGTAATACCTGTCCGTGTGTTTGTTTGGTAAAGACACGGTGGAGAACTCTCAGCAGGCCTACCAGAATGCCTTCGACATCAGCAAGAAGGACATGCAGCCGACGCACCCCATCCGGCTGGGCCTCGCCCTCAACTTCTCCGTCTTCTTCTACGAAATCCTCAACTCGCCCGAGCAGGCCTGCACTCTGGCCAAGCAGGTTGGTTTTGGTTGGCAGCGAAGAGAGAATCCGTTACTTTTGAAATGATGCGACTACCCTGAAGATATTAGAACCCTACAATGATATTTATCCTTTGATGTGATATCGGTCTATTCACTTAAAAGAAGCTCAAAATGCTGCAGCTCTCTGTATGACGTAGTGATGATGGCAGTGACCTGTCAATCACGGTAAGCCGCGCCCCTTCTGTATGGTCTGACCTGGGTCGTCTCCCCCCACCAGGCTTTCGACGAGGCGATCGCCGAGCTCGACACCTTGAACGAGGACTCGTACAAAGACAGCACGCTGATCATGCAGCTATTAAGGGACAACCTCACTGTGAGTACTGTCCCGGGGGGGTTTCCGCCACCTCAGTGGGTCAATTGGCATTGAGATGTACTTGTTAATATCAACTAATCATACCTAAATATATATTTTAATTTCCTAATCTAAAATAACCAACATCTGTCTGTCTTTCTCCAGCTGTGGACATCAGAAAACCAGGGCGACGAGGGCGAGGCCGGAGACGGAGACAACTAGAGCGCACACTTCACTGTTGACCCATGACCCCACTCTCCTCCTCTCCCCTTTCTTCCTTCTCTTCGTACACATAAAAAAAGCCCTGTTCATCCCCCCCCCCCCACTCCCACCCCTCTTTTTCGTCCTAACTTTATCAGCCTGTCCTCCCCCAACTTTCCCTTCTGTATAACCAACAGCTTGAATAGCACCCGAACTTCAGGACAGATGGTTCAATCGATAAAAATACAAAAAATAAACGGAGGAGTGAGAAAATGGAAGCTTCTCCACACCCTAATCTTCTCCTCCTCCTTTTTCCTCTCCCTTCTATCAGGCAATCCAAGCTATAAGAGACTTCAGGCTCTTCTTCTAACACGCAGGGAGGGGTTTTATCCCAAATTAACAAATTGAATAAATGTCTTTTTTAAAGCCCACAATTCCCGTTTCTTTTTAAATCTCCACTTCTTCCTCTCTCCATCTTGTCCCCCCCCCTCTTTGCTCTATTGAGTTAACGCTCTTATAGTCGCCCCCCCTCTTTGCTCTAGTGAGTTAACGCTTGGTTGTCCCTCCCCCCTCTTTTGGCTTTTTCTTAGTGTACTGGCAAATGGCTGGTTTTATTCCACTTTAAACAAACAACAACAAAAGGTTATTAAACTGTCCGTTTATTTTCAACGAACCCTGTGCTGCTTAGTTCTTCCTCCACCTTGCTCCTCGTTGTGATGGTGTAACGGCTGCGTCCGGATGGGGGGGGGTGTTTAGAGCTGAGGTTTATACAGAAGGGTCCCACAAGGCTTTATTGTGACACTGACAATTCTACAACAAAGCGTTTTAACCTGCTGGCAAACACGGCTGCGCAATCTGGAAACCCAATAAAACCGTTTGAAAAAGCACATTCCATCTTAATGTTTGTAGAACGGGGAGCCGCCCGCCGTCCGGGATCCTCCCCCAGGCAACTTCTGTCCTGCTGTCCCCAAGTGTAACCCCCCCCCCCCCCCCCCCTTCGTTGTGTCTAACAAATCAACTGTTCTGTTTTTTTTATTTTTTTTGAGAACTGTAAAATTTTGAGCTAAACTGTAAATCTGTCTTTTGGGGAGAGATGATGTCGTTAGTCAACAGCTGTGATCTCAAAATAACCTCAAAGTCGTTTCAGTCGGTTCTGCAACTATTTTATTTGGTTCCTGCCTCCTCACACCTAAAGTTTAGACTCCTTGGGGACGGACACTTCCTGCTTCCTCATTTCCTAGGCACCTTCACTAGTTTCTGACTGAGTTCAGCCAACTGCCCTTCAAACTAAAATGGAGTTGGAGCCTCAATTTCTACCTAAGAGGCAGAACAAATCATCTATTGTGTATTTTACACATTTGAGGTTTTAACTCCTTTCAAACATTTACGTCTTTAAACAACCACAGTAACCTGAGTAAACGAGGAATCAGTTGGAGTCCACAGCAGGTACGTGCGTGGAAGGAATCTACCCGGCAACTAGTCAACCAGTCATCCGTTGCTCAAGTTAGACCCCAGAAAATTCAGAAAATTCTAGGTCTTATTTTTGGGATCAAATCTAAAGAAAAGTACGGTTTTGGACACTCAAAAAAAATTTGCGTCAAAATAAAAGTAGACCCCACTTTGGTCCCAGAGGAGGAATAAAGCACCTCTTCCCCTCAGTGTCACAATAAGCTCGTCCCCAACCGTCCACATTCCACTGTAGGTGTAGAGAAGTCATGTGTCAATGTTTTGTTTCTTTTGCTGGGGACAAATGTTTTCCTGCACTCAAGTTCAAAAGGTTAAAAAATAAAATAAAAAATCCCCCCCCCTCCCCTGCCGCTCTTTTTCTCGTTAGCTGAACAAAAAAGGCAGTTATTCTACGCTTTATAAGGAAATTAAATCAAATATATCCCATGCAGTAGTGAATGTGGCACCGAGCCTGTCTGTATATCTGGTATCTCAAATAATTTTGTTTTTACTGACCAGTATTATGCTTAAAATAAAAAGAAAAAAAAATAACCCCAAAAAAAGTTTGCTTCTGTGACGGTTTTATTGCTTAGCGTGCACGTGGTTGTGGAAATTTAGATTTTAGCTTAACAAAATTAAAAATGACTAAAGAAAAAGAACCCCTTTGACGCCCCCCTCCCCACCCCCACCTGGTTATTGAAGTAATACTAGATTTGTGTGTATCTTTTAAAAAACTCGACTAGTTTCACCTTTCATGTTATGAACAGGACAAAAATGTAAAAGACAATTTAAAGTGAAATAAAGGTTTTATCAGTTCCGAATGAACCCTGTTCTGTTTATTATCCCCACTAGTCTGGTAGCATCTTTTCTCCTTGTGGTCAAACCGAAGCCTTTATCATCCTTCTGAAGCCGCCAGACTCCGACAAAAAAAACCCACACGACCTCTGAGGCCGTCGAGGCCGGCGACTTCGCCTAAATGTGTTTTTGTAAAAGGGACGACGGCTCTGAGGTTCCAGTCGGGTTTCCTTGATGGAGTCTGGTGGCTTAGAGGATCAAGGTCAAGCTGTAGAATTAATCTAAACACAGTATAAGCTTGAATAAATTTAGTTTGGATACATATGTGTGTATATATAGATGTATATTATACACACAGACCGATAAATGGCTAAAGCTGAGCACTAGACTCGCACATTAAATCAAGTGAGTCCACGGAAACGTTTAATGCAAATAATCAGAACAACAGGCGGATCTTCTCGATGACGTCTGGTTTTTAAACCCATCTTGCATTATTTGCGTGCCAGAGGACAGAATAACTGTCAAAACCGCTTCAATGACTGAAATAAATATTTGATGAATAAATTAGTGAATATCATTAGATTTTGTGTGTGTTTGTTCCATTTAATATGAGGGACTGAACACGCACGTGCCGTCCTCTTTGTGTTCCTCCTCGCGTCCCCATGGCGATTAACCGCATTAATCGCGTTGCAATGAATTGTGGGGAATTCCCTTTGGTATTAAAAGGCGCAAAATGTCACTCGATTACCACACGTGGCCACAGGGGGGCGCTGTTTCTCCACAGTCAAAGCCTTTAGGCCTTAAAACCGAAGGCCTAGTTCTGAGGTTAGTGTGTGAGGGATTCCTCTTGGTGGGAGGTGTGTGTGTGTGTGTGTGTGTGTGTTTGTGTGTGTGTGTCCTTGGGTATCCATTTGTGGGTTGTTGTTGCTCCTGACCTGGAGGTGAACCGTATGTTCTCTGCAGGGGAAGGGGCGGAGCCTCCACGTGAGGCCGGAGGAGAAGCTCTCGTCCTGGGAGTACGGCTGGAGGCTCGGTGAGTTCAGGCCCCCCAAAAACCTGCGGCAGTGCATCGCGGGGGTGACGGGTCGCCTCGGTATCTCTGAACCGGGAGCCTATTTTTTTTTAACGTTGGTTTCGGTAGTGAGAATAAAAGCAGTGTAGCGATGTACGGTTTCTAATTCTCTGCAGGGTTTCTTCCATAAAGTTGTCAGACATTAACAATCTGACCCTTGGTGACCAAAGAGGCCTTTCCGTGTTTAGGAGATCGCCTCAGACATGGTGTCTCATTCCGCATTTAGACACAAAAACATTTTATTAAAGAAAACAAATTAAAGTCAAATATCATCATCTACTGGATAAAGCGATTTAAAGAAAATAGCAGCTCAAATTTGTATTTTAAAATACACGATAGCTTAACTAAATTGCTTCAGTGCACTTCAGTGCTGCAGGCTGTTATATGGAAATCCTCTAGATTTAATTGCAGCTATTAACTTTCATTAAAGAGCTAAAGGAGTCTACAGCCTCGCTAGCAGCTCTGTGAGGAAGAAGCTAAATGCTAGAAAACTGTTTTTATCTGCGTTTGTTTGTTAAATTAACATTAAATTCCGCATTAAAGTGCAGATTAAAAACATATATCTGTTCCTGCACCCTCGGTCAGCTGTTTCCTCCCCAGGCGACCACACTCTGGACTACAGGACTCCGTCCCGCGCCAAGTCCTCGGTGGTGAAGAACACCTTCTACGCCCGGAACGGCGTCTTCAGCCGCCCGGCGGGCGCCGACGCGCCGGGCTGAGGTCCCGCCTGCGGACGCTCGGGATGATCATCATTTATGAAAATGATTTAAGTCCCAAATAGGGAAACTCGCTCAACATATTATTACATATTTCGGGATTGTTACGAAATTAAGACTTTTTGGAAAGATTGTTTAATGTTTAAAATGAATTGTATTAAAATCTTCAACGTTTTTGTGTTTGTGTGATTTGATTGAACCACAGTTACATTTCAGACATCAACTCAACGTTTTGAACTTATTATATTGTGATATTTCTGATTAGTGAGTGAATTGTGAGCCTCCGCTTCCCGTAGCCACCGTGACGGATGAATGACCAACATCTGGCCAGGTGTCACTCACAGAGGTGACCTGATACCTTTAAACATGGAGCCACCGGAGCACATTACACAGCACAACGCTACATGTTTCATATCAGTCGCTACACTACCTCCGCCAAGCAGCGTAGTTTGGTAAAGATGAATTGATAATTACAGTGTGACCTTTTTATTGTTATTATATTTATTATTTATTAAGCGAATACTGGAGTGTAAACTCCTCACAGCATTCGCTTAGTCCATGAAGCAGCTTTGAGGACGGAGTTTACTGCAATCGGCAGGTTCTTACCTTGAGGTCGTTTGGGTTTTTGTGTTAGAACTGGAACCCTTTTTAGTTTTAACGCTTCGCTCACTTCTGGTTGCATAAAAACAAGATGGCCAATCGATGATGTAACGGTGAGCAAATTCCCTCCATGTACGGACGAGTCAACTACTTTGTATTACCTGTAAAATACACACTTTTAGCAGTTCGTGCAAAAGGCAGCAGCCAATATTTAATTATTAATTCTGCAGATTTAATTGCTGTAAATACGTAAAAGACGTCTGTGGCGTCGCCGACGGCAGCTGGGCGGATCGTAGGGCGCGTCGGTCTTCGGCCGGTGCCTCTACTCGGCGGGGGACACCAGGAAGCCGGTGAAGGTGTGGCTGGTGCTGCTCTGGCTGGTCACGATGCTGTTGTACCTGGTGGTCTGCAGGGAGACCGTCTCCCCGGCGCGCAGCTCCAGGACCGCCGAGCCGGAGGTGACCAGGAAGCCTTCGGACGAGTCGCACGTGGTCAGGCTGCTGTCGGCGCCCTTCATCAGCTTCAGACACACCTGGGTGACAGGCACGAGCACGGAGAGGGAGGGGTCACTGCACCAGTCGGCTCAGCTGGTCACCTTGTGTTCAAGTGACGTTTCTCGTGGGTCGGACTCACTCGGCTCTTTGCTGACAGGTGGTAACTGAAGAAGTAGATCCCTGCGATGGCGCAGGTGAACTTCCCCTCGGTCATCGCTTCTCCTCTGAACCGCTCACCCAGATCCAGAATGTCGCTGAGGACACAAACACACGAAGCATCGGAAAGTGGGGAACCAACTAACTGCCGTAAAACAACGCGTTTGGTGGCGTGGCGCCAGTGGTGGTGTTTTCTGGAGGAGGCCGCGTCCACCGACCTGTCGAAGTGGATGTCGGTGTCGAGCTGCGGCGCTTGTGAAATCACCCGTTTGTAGGAGAAGAAGGACTTCTGCTGGTTGGACGGGTTGAAGGGACTCCCCTTCTGCCCCGCCAGGCCCGGAGTACCGGGAGGCCCGGGGAGACCCACGTCCCCCTTCAGCCCGGGCCGCCCCGGGGGGCCCCGCAGACCCGGCGACCCCTTGTGGCCCCTGAAGGGCTGAGCGGCCTCGCCTGCTCACACGGTTACTCGTTAGTGTGAACCTCCACTGACGGGGGAGATTCATTAAGTTCAAACAGGTTTTAAGCTATTTTACAATACATAAAAACTACTGCAAATAATAAGTAAGTAAAAGTACAAATTAAACAAAGAACATAGAATAAAAACATTCCATGTATATTTTCCCCGTTAAGGTTATCGACTGTAATCTGACTCGCTCCTGAAGAACTGATATCGCTGTAACGGGGAGACTTGCTGTTGGACTCGGCAGCTCACGTTACCACAGTCTCTGAGGGGGGGGGATGAGGGGGGGGGGGGTCCAGCTGGTCGCAATCTGCAGCCACCCCACCAGATGGCGTAAGACCCCACTGCCCCACTGCCCCTTTAAATCCAAACAAATCAAAGTAGGTGAGCTCCTGTTGCGCGCTCACCCGGGTCTCCGCGTGGTCCTTTGGGGCCGTTGCTGCCGTTGGGCCCGTGGGTGCCGGGTATCCCCGGGACCCCTCCCGCGATGCAGGACTGTGAGACGACGGGGGCGATGTGGACCAGGAGCAGGAACGCTGCAGTGCTGCGGCTCCGCCACCAGGGGGCCTGATTCAACACACACACACACACCTGTCTGTGTCACCAAGGGAGGACCGCGGAGTGTGAGCTCTACACATGTATGTTGCTGTTGTTCCTCTTTGTTATCTATATGTTCTGGTATGGAAATAATAATGATTGTTTAGCTGTACTTCTATTTCTGTTTAAGTAGTTTAAGAGCAAAACAAGCGTTAAATATATTGTATGTGTACATGTACCTGTTAATACAGCTGATTCAGATTCATTCAACAGAAATACACTAATCATTGTAATAGGGATGAAATATTTTGACTGATAATCCACAAATCATGTATATAAATATAGATATATAGACACAATAAATAACTTGCAATGTTCAAATACAGATACAAAATAATTGTGAGATATTTTAAGGCTTACACAGACAACAACTTAAACTTTACTCGCTCTTAAGATCGTCCATTTCTGATATCACATACGCTGAATCAAAGAGGTCCCCTCTAGGTCGACATATTTATTTCTTTGCTTGTTCTTTGGTTTTGTAGAACATAAAAGTCTCACCATCCTACGAGCTGCAATGAGGAGCTGTGACGAAGAGCTAAGATGAAGAGCTGCGATGAGGAGCTGCGATGAAGAGCTGAGATGAAGAGCTGGGATGAAGAGCTGTGATGAAGAGCTGAGATGAAGAGCCGCTTCATCCACGGCTGCAGCTCAGTCTGGAATGAAACACAAGCAAAGACAGGGAAGTGAAAGGCTTGCAGAGCGCTGTGACGATGTTCGCAGTGATGATTTTCGGGTACCGATTCACTGACCTGATGCTGACGCGAGGTCACATGTTGAAATCACACTGTACTTTCAGACAAACCCTTTACTTTGGTTTGGAAAAATATTCCACTTGTCACTAAAATACATTAATTTGACACGTGGAGTTTATGGCAACATTGCGGCTTCAAATTTTACGCTGAAGAAATGATTCCAAACGTCCCCAAAGACTCGGTCTCCGTCGGAGGAGATTTATTTTCTCATGTGAGTTTCCTCTCAGTTTGTTTGAGGCGCTTTCCTGTAAATCTGTGATTGTTTCATTGCATTTATCCGACCGAACAAATAACGCATAGGAGGAAGCGAAACTTGGTAACAACTGATGATGAAGCAAAGTCGAATGCTTCACATGTGAAAAATATTTTCTCCAGATACACATTTTGTTCTAATTTCCTCTGAACTTCCTCTTTGTTGTTTCTGTTTTACTGGCAGTTTATTCTTGTGAAACTGTATCTGTTCCACAAAATATTTAATTTCATCAACGGTGTCAATCATTAAAGAGCTAATGTCCTTTTTTTAATAATGGAATTAGCCAGTTTTTCCTTTTGTATTTACTCTGAACTTCTTTTCAGATTTTGTCCAGCTATTTTTTTTTGATGTTCTGTTTTCGTGAAAATCCAGTAAAATGTCTTCCCAAGAAGACCCTTGTTTTTATTTGAATCCTGTCATCATCCCTTTAACTACACCACATGAACTACGTTTAGTAATAATCTCTACAATTGGAGAGTTTTGACTCTTATGATTAATATAATTTTCTTACATCTACGTTTGAATTACGATCATTCAAGCTGCGTCCACACGTACCATGTTTGCATCTTCAGATCGAAACCTTTTTCAATTAAAAGCGATATGTAAGGTGGAAAAAAAATACAGCACAAGAACAAAGGTCTTCATGTTTTTATTATTTCATTACCTGGATATAAAGGTCATATGAAAAAAGGTTTCTCCCGCGGTGGGAAGGAAGGGAAGACGTTATGTCGCTTGTTGCTGTAAAGCTGTTAGAACGTGAGTGAAGAAGCTGTGGCGTCAGTGCGCGTGCAGCAGGAAGCCGGAGAAGATGCTGTAACCTTCAGGTTTCCCCCTCATCCCTCTGTAGTCTTTGGTCTCCAGCCAGACCTCCTGACCCCGAGACAGGTAGACCGCCAGGCTGCCGGAGGTCACCTGCAATACGTCGAAAGTTAACAGTATTTTAGTCGCTGTCGCGAACACCTTTTTGTGAAGAGCTGCCACTTTGAATTCCTATGTCAAAATAACTCACCTGTCTCCTCGTGCGGCGATGATCGCAGAACGACGCCAGCAGCCCGCCGTCGAGCTTCATCAGCACACACAGCCGGTCCTCCAGGGACGCGTGGTACACAAAGTAGTACGTCCCAGGGACCCGACACCTGAAACACACAAACCCCAGCCAGTCGCTGAAAGGGCATTTCCACGTTTTCTGTTGTGCAGCTTCATCACAGTTTAAATCTTTACAAACAGAAGTGACGTAGAGACGCCTTCCGCCTGTCTGTTAGAGACCTGTCAATCACCGTGTAGCCCCGCCCTAAAGGGCCCCCTGCTTTGTGGTCTGAAGAAGAAGTGAAGACCAATGCTTACAGTGATAATCCTGCGCTTGGTGTGCGTGTAACGTTCAGTCCAAGGTAACAAACGATCACACAAATTAAGAAAGGAGGTTTTCTCACAAGAAGCGGCCGGTTTCTGTGTTGTAGTCGTCGTTGATGTTGGTGATGACTTTGGTGAAGCGAATGATGCTGCTTTTGTCCGGGTATTCGTTGGTTCCTCGGGCCACGCTGAAGGCCGCCTGATGCTGGACTCCAACGATCCTGCACGCCGCCGACGCCAAAAACACCCAATCCAATGGTATCAGCTCACATTAAAGACGCTGAACGCCTTGAGTCCACGTACCCTGGTTCTCTCCGGTTTCCCCGACGGCTCCCGATCCCCGGGTTCCCGGGTCCCCGGGTTCTCCGCTCTGCCCTCGTTTGCCGGGAAACCCCGCCGGCCCCGTCTCCCCCGTCTCCCCCTTTTGAGGGACGAGGCCGCCGTGCAGAACTGCTCCTGTGGAGGGAACGACATGCTGAAGAACGTCCCACAGGTTAAACTCACGCCGTCGTCTCGGCCTCCATGTTTGGTATCAGCCACGGCCGACAGGTGATGACAGGTGATGACAGGTCATGACGGGTGATGACAGGTAATGACGGGTAATGACGGGTGATGACAGGTAATGACAGGTGATGAGGGGTGATGACGGGTAATGACGGGTGATGACGGGTGATGACGGGTAATGACGGGTAATGATCGTGTTATGACCGAATAATGAACGGGTAATAGCGGGTTATTCCAAGCTAATGTCAGGTGATGACTGGCATATTACGGGTAATGACGGATAATGACGAGGTGATGACGTGTTATGACGGGTAATGACAGGTGATGACAGGTGATGACAGGTGATGACGGGTGGATGACGGATGATGACGAGTAAAGATACGTAATGACGGGTGATGACAGGTGATGACGGGTGATGACAGGTGATGAGGGGTGATGACGGTAGATGACAGGTGATGACGGGTGATGACAGGTGATGACAGGTGATGACGGGTCAAACCATCCAGGTTTTCAGGTAAAGGAAATGAAAGCGCCTACTGACTATATACATTATACTAGGAAACTAATACAAATCGATTTTAAAGGATTTTTGAATGGATGCTAATTTGAAACATATGTTTTTATTCCTTGCACCCGCTAAGTGCCTTCATGTGCCCCATTTGAGAAGCACTGCTCGAACAAATGCATAAACCAAACGTTCTGGTTACCTGCCTCTCCTTTGTCTCCTTTGTCTCCATCACGACCGTCTCTGCCGGGCAGCCCGGGAATACCTGAGGACGGAGAGACAGGTGAAGGAAAGACATCGAGGACGGTACGCGGACACAGACATGGGCGCGTATACTCACCTGGAATACCGTGCATCCCTGATGCCTGGCAGGTCTCCATGGCGACCAGCAGGGGCGTGGCCCACGACAGCAGGACGACGAGGAAACAAGGAGCGAGCATTGTGACGAACCTGACGGGAGGAGAGGTGATCAGAACAAGAAGTGAGCAGCATCCAGGAAGGAGACAAGACGAGATTGGAAGAAAGTAAAAGAATGAGACGAGCAGCTGAAAGAAAGAGAGAGAAGACACGTACGGAAGGATTGAACATAAAAATATAACATGAAAATCTAAATAGTTTCCAGGTTTTGTCTTACTGAGATTATCTTTAAATAAAGATTAATCAGAAGGTCACCAGATTCCTTTTCACAAATGACTGTCAATGACTTCAAACGTATCAACTATAAGATTATCAAAAAGATTAAATATATATAACTCACCTGACACACCAGAGCTCTCTGATTCCTGAGGGAAGTGGCGTGAAGTCTCTGAGCCTCCGGAGGAGAAAGCCGACGATAAAATCCAAATATTCAGCAGAATAAATCTACGCCAGAAATTATTCTCAAAGCTCCTGCAATTTTTAGGAAGTTCTTGAGAGCCGGAGGGACGACCAAGAGAGAGAAATTCAGCTGATGATTCTACACACACACACACACACACACACACACACACACACACAGAAAACAAGAGGTCAACAGCGGCAAACATTTCCCGAAAAGAAGAAAAGAAGAAGTGTGCGAAAAGAAAGAAAATGTTTCACTTCTTTAACCTTCTGAGTCACATGGAACTTTTGTATGAGTCAATGTATAAATTAACGGAGACCTTTTTTCTTTTCTCTTCTAAAGACATCTGTAATGTTTATGATTGAAAAGGGACCTGGTTCCTGTTAGCCTAGCTTAGCACAAACCATGGAAACAGGGGGAAACTGCTAGCCTAGCTATGTTAAACGTCCTTTCACAGCTGGATGTTGAGTATTCGGGTGTGTTGGTCTGTTTGTGTTTCGAGAGGTCGTTGATCCGCGTCGGCTGAGAGAGAAATCAACCACTTTATTGATTCAGTTTACTTTTTAGGTCAATTTCGTTTGTTCATCGGTCAGATTTTTGAAAATATTCACTTCCGTACGGATCTCACTAACGAAGCACTAATTTGTAGATATTCCACAAAATTATTTCACATGTTTTGCACGTGACGGAGGAAGTATAACAAAAGCCTGCAGGCATCTTTCAGCCACGGCGCCACGAAACAGAAAGTCACCATTTTATTTTTTCCAATTTAAGTAACTTCAGTAGTTTGAAAATGAAATCTGGCAAGTGATATAAAGTCAATTTGTGTATTTTGATGTAGAGCTTAATAAACATGTCATAAATACAGTTATGAGTATTTTTACTGCTGTATTTACTTCTCTAATGTGAAACTATGACGACATTAAAACAACAACACCAGATAAGATGTTTTGGGGTTTTGGGAAATTCAGGAAAATCCATTAGAGGTTCTTAACGTGTAATGTAACCAGACACAACCCACCATCAAGTATAAACTTTAATTTTGTTTGCATTTACAGCGAATCTTCGGAGACAGTTTAAATGAGTCAATATGAAGGACACAGATCAAACAAACCTAATTATGGATCTACATGATGCTCAGTTGTGCTTCATTTTCACGTTGGAAACAGCTTTTTGAGGATTTCACTTCAGAACTCTCAGATGGTGAATTCACGAGGCCGCCTCCGGTTCACCGGGCGCAGCTCTGGACTTTATTCTGAGGCTGAGAAGATCAGGAAGCCGCTGAAGATGATGCTTTTCTCCTGAGTGTCTCGTATTTCAGGGTCTTTCTGCTGGTCCCTGAAGGACTCCAACCAAACCTTCTGCCCGAGTCTCAGCTGTAAGACGACGCCGCCCGACAGCACCTACGAGACAACGTACAGCACAATCAGGCAAAGCTCAGGGGGGGCGAAGACATTTAGTCCTCAATGTTTTTATGTGGATTGGCCTCTGTATGACATTAAGGAGAAGATTGACATTAATCCTGAATTTCTGTCGGAAAATCCAACTGATGCAGTTTCAGATAACAAGATTTGCTGAATGAATTTAAACTTCAAACTACCAAACCTAACTGAGGCTGCTAAACACGAATGTATTTTGAGTGTAAAGTAGAATGAAGTCAATACAGAAGTGTGTTAAAGCTGCGTTCTCTGTAGTGACCAGCAGGGGGCGACTCCTCTGCTCCCATAGACGTCTATGAGGAAATGACTCTACTTCTCTGTAGTGACCAGCAGGGGGCGACTCCTCTGCTCCCATAGACGTCTATGAGGAAATGACTCTACTTCTCTGTAGTGACCAGCAGGGGGCGACTCCTCTGCTCCCATAGACGTCTATGAGGAAATGACTCTACTTCTCTGTAGTGACCAGCAGGGGGCGACTCCTCTGCTCCCATAGACGTCTATGAGGAAATGACTCTACTTCTCTGTAGTGACCAGCAGGGGGCGACTCCTCTGCTCCCATAGACGTCTATGAGGAAATGACTCTACTTCTCTGTAGTGACCAGCAGGGGGCGACTCCTCTGCTCCCATAGACGTCTATGAGGAAATGACTCTACTTCTCTCTGGATTTATTCCCTCAGTAAACATTGTAAACATGAGTTCATGGTCTCAGTCTCTAGTTTTCTTTATCAATACAGCATGATGTTCATTTAGTAAATGATGCATATTAGCATATTGCATCTCTGTGTCAATCCTGCTTTGAGGTTTGTGGTGTTGAATTTGATAGAAAATAAAGACATTTCTCCAACTGACTTGATCGCTGTTCCGGTTGTAATCACAGAATCCCAGCCTCTCCCCCAGAGCGTCACTGAGGATCCCCAGACACACACTGACCTGAAAAAACACAACAACTAATATGCACTTTGGAAACGCAGCATTTAGCATCGTCAGCTGACGATTACCAGCAGTGGAAGAAGTATCCGGATCCTTTAATCACGTAAAAGTACTAATGCACACTGTGCAGCAGGGCCGGGCGGTTTCCATACGCTATGAATCTCTCACGTACCGGTGTTACGTCACAAGGACCGACGACGCTCTTCGGCAAGCGGCAGAATTTATTTTCACACGTCCCGTTGGGGGTCAATGAATGAATGTGTTTACTGACAAACACCGTCACACACCGGCAGAATCTTCCTAAATACCGTGATATGGATTTTGCCCTCCTGCTGCAAGTAAAGGTTCTGCATTCAAAACCTCAGAATGAACCCGAGCATGTTGCATGTACTGTGTTTAATTTGCTGTTGGCGAGTTTAATCTGCCAGTCATCTGGCAGAGAAGCACATCGGCAGCAGTGTGTCACCTTTGCCATCGAGTGGAAGGTGAAGTAATAAAGGCCGGGTACGCGGCAGGAGAATTGGCCCGTGGCTGCGTTGAAGTCCTGACCCTTGTTGACAACGGTGGTCTGAAAGGTCACTACCTGATTACCACACACACACACACACACACACACACACACACACGATAAGAACAATCAAAGATCCCGAGTATCATAAACATGTATACAATGTAGAATATACATATGTAATATTGTTTCTATTGTTGATATATACTATGTCAAATTACTTAAATACCACACAGTTTTAGAGCAAATTACTAAATTACTTTTCAGTGCTGATTTGCTGCAGAAATAAACATTCATTTAATTGATTATTAAACTGAAATGTTACAGATTAAAGAGAAAGAGGGAGAGGTGTGCTGGACTGAACCTGGCGTAGGGGAGGATAACTGTTATCAGTCCTGATCACGGAGAAGGCTGAGCGTCCCTGCTGAGGAGACAGTTGTCCTCCTAGAAGAAAACACACACACACTCGTTTACCAGACTTTTGGGGACATCACATCGACTTACATACATTTCTTGGACACATTTAAAACCGGAACCTGAAGGTAAAACCAAGCTTTCACCCCCAAATGTAACGGTTTATGTTACTGGGATACACATTTAACGCCCGATAGGAAGGACATATTCCAACATCTGCGCTACATCTTCCCTAAGAAAAGATGAATGGAGCAATCATTTCTTTTCATTTATATTTCCTTGGGATTATAACATAAATCAGAAAACAATATTGTAGCAGCTCAACCAACTAGTAGAGATGTCTCAATCAGATGTTTTTGTCCTGCTTGTGTCAGCACAATATAAACCGCCGGGAGTCGCGTCGTTACCGTGGCCGATGCTCTCCCCCTCGGGGCCGGGGCGACCGACCGCTCCGTGGGTGCCCGTCGGCCCCAGATGCCCGCTGTAACCTTTAGGGCCCATGACCCCCTGAGGGCCTCGACTCCCCGCCTGCCCCTTCAGCGCCGGCAGGATGCCGACATCCACCGGACCGCCGGCCGCCACAGCTGCAGAAACACAGATGAAGGAATCTCTTTACATCAAACTCATTTTCACAGGTTTGTTTACTGCTTTTTCATCATATATATATATATATGTATATATATATACCGTATACATATATATATATATATATTTATATAAATGAAATGAATACAGATAGCTCTTTGCCTCAGTGGAACCAACAGTAAAGAAGAAGGTCGCTTGTACCCGGCTCTCCTTTCTCTCCCTTCGCTCCCTGATATCCGTCTCGGCCCGGAGGTCCCGCCGCTCCCGGCACGCCGTCCGTCCCTCTGCAGCTCGCATCGCATTGGCCAGTCGTCAGAAAGGACGCCACACCCACCAGGACCGCCACCCCATAACACCCGGCCATGGTCCAGAACCCTGTGTTTGACGGTGACATCAAGAAGGAGGCTCCAGAAGAAGGTCTGAACGAGACAAACAACCTTTAATACAACATGTTTCCGCTGTGATCAAATTACATAATACGTAATAGTTAAAGAATAAAGAAGTTAATAAAAGAATAGATCTGGAATAAAAGAGGAAATCCGATGGATACCGTTTTTATTTTTATTGTCAAAACTGCTCATTGTCACATTATCTCGTGATTAAGAGATTCTAGCCATTAAAACAAAATATGAATGTGACATTTTAAGGAAGATTTGCGGGTCGGTAAGGTAAATATATATACATCAATGTTAGCAGATTAAATTCATTTTACAGTACGCATTCAAATTCTAATGCCCCAAAAGGGGGAATTGGACTAATTTTGTATTCAAATTTAGCTGCAGAATCTTTAATAATCCAGCTTTATCTTTGCATAATGTAACGCTGAGTCGTGTTTTTCATTTTGCTCTTTTACAGTTACAGTTAAAGTATAAACAATAGCATCGACTGTTATTATGATTTTTGCTCACCAGCCGAGATGAGGAGCTGCGAGAAGAAGACGGAGTTTCCTCTTCTGGTGATCAGATCAAGACTTCTTATTAGACTCACTGACACACACACACACACACACACACACACACACACACACACACACACACACACGCACACACACACACACACACACTCACACACGCACACACACACACACACACACACTCATGAGAGAAAAAAAACAACTAAATCTGTAGGGAAATGAAACTGGCGATGTGAACGATTTGTTCAGACGCTCTAATTCAACAAAGACGTTTTAACGCGTCTGTTGTGTCGAAACCGGCAACTGAAATCTGTCTCATGCTGCATTAATGATGCAATAAATGTCCAACAAGCCCCGGGCATCAATTAGCACGTTTTATCACTTGTTACTAAACACGTGTGACCACAAAGAGAGAAGCTGAGGTTGTGACTTCAGACAAAATGTTTCCACGGGAACGATCAGCCGTAACAGAGAAGACGTCCCAAGAGGCGGCGGACATTTTTGAAACAACTCTTCTGTCCTTTCAGTTGAGTGACATGTGACGCTGCGTGGAGCGCCCCCTGCTGTGACACATGAAATCATTCATTAATAGCATTTGTTCACTGTTTCCTCGACTGAACATCAGGGTGAAATGTTGTTTTTCAGAAGAGGCTTTAACAGGATACGGACAGACGTTTTATAAAATAGACCCGATGTTACACATTGTTTGGTGCTGGAATCAAACCGGACTGAGCAGAAGTGATCAGGAGCCCAGCGGAACCCCCCTGACCCCCTGACCCCCCTCCCTCCACTGATCACTTGATCCTCTGGTGGTTCCAGAGGATCCTGCTGGCATCAGTTGGGGGGGGGGGGGGCAGAGCCCAGCAGGATCCTCTGGTGGTTCCAGAGGATCGGGTCGAGGTGCGGCCTCGTCACACCACAATTCCAGATCCTTTCTTTGTGGCCGCACACCCGAGGAGACGCGACAAGTCGCGTCACGCCCCCCCAACACCGCCCCCCTCTGTGGGAATGTAGAAACAAAAACACACACGAGACCCGACAGGCTTTTTCTTTGCTTCCTTATGGTTGAAATGCACTTGTTGTAAGTCGCTTTGGATAAAAGCCTCAGATAAATGACATGTGATGTGTTGTAATGTAATGTAATGTATTGTGTTGTAATGTAATGTCATTTTTTATTTCTTCTTGAAAGTTCCAATAACAAATTTAGCTGTAATCAATGCAATTACCTAAAATATAGTGATGTGTCATTATTGGTTAATGTGAGACACCTTTTGATACTTTTTCATACACGTGAGATTCGGGGTTATTTTGCTCCAAAAACAGTTTCAGTTTTGTTCTTGTTCTGTATTTTTTTTACCACATTGCTCTTAAAAATACGATGTATTTATAATGTATTGATTACATCTAGAAAATACAACCAGGAAGTAACAATAATGAGCTTCTCCTTTACCGACTGCTGCCAAAACAGATGCAATCTAATACAAATACACACACACGGGCCTTCATTCAAAACGTGCTGGTGAAGGACAACGGAAAAATAAAATAGTACTTTGTTGCTTATTTTTATAAAACATTTAAACATATCACGTTTTCTTTGATGTACTTTCATTTCACACACATTTTCAGAACGATGCAACTTCCTGTTGCCGTGTGTTGTGTTGCTGCATTGTGGGTCAATGAGGTCACAGCGTTTTAATTCTGGTTCCTCATATTGTAGACGATGAAGAACAGATAAACGGCCGACACACACACACACACACACACACACAGACACACACACACACACACACACACACACACACAGACACAGACAGACACACACACACACACACACACAGACACAGACACCTTTTGTGTCATTCCAGCTTCTGCTATTGGTCAGTTTCCGTCCAATCACGTTGCTTGTGCTCACCTCACGCCGAGCTTTACTCCCACGTAGAGGCTTCGTTTCTCAAACCTCGGCAGGAAGTCCACGAGGCTGATCGCATCTCACGTTCTCCTCCTGCAGGTGAGGAACTTCTTCTGTTTTCTCTCCTGAAGCTGAACGCTTCACGCGTCTTTTAGAGCGGGAAACGACAACCCGGCGTCTCCTCTGCTCATTCCCCAAATCCTTCACATTCCAAACACGACAATGGAAATGTGACTGAAGTCCACATGAGGATCCAAAGCAGGACGCAAAGGCGGAGGAGTAGTGGTGTTCTGTGTGAATGTTCAGGTACTTTGGTTAACGGAAGAAGGACGTTTTTTACTTTTTATGTGATAAGTTAAATGAACTCAATGCAACTTGGAACAGGTGAAAAGTTCATTGCCACAAAGCTGTTTTTACAAAGAATATACAAATGATCAAATGTTCTTATCCAATGTGATAAGAGATGAGATCTTATTCGATGGGATACTTAGTGCTGGATCAAACAACATAATGGCGATATGAAGGCGTTAGAATGCAACATGCACATGAGTGCCGCAGACTGTGAGAGCAGACGGGACGTGACAGGAAATGGTTGTCGCGGCAACAATGAGATCTGATTGCCGTGTTCTGAGGAAGTCACGTGTTGCACCACAATGGTTGGAGTCCAGTATTATTTTATGTCTGTATTCTATCTTTGTCTGTATATTTTGTTCCCAGGGCCTCAGGCGAGTTGAGCGATGCGGATGCCGTTAAAACAAACGCACATACACAGCGAATACACTTTTACCACAGCTGCCTGATTCAGACACAAACCAAATGATCACAAAACCAGTAACATTTCTATTCTCTTGTCTCTTTTTTTAAAGATTTCTTTTCTCTGCGACAACCATGAAAATTGCAGCGTTCAATATCCAGAAGTTTGGAAGGAGCAAAGTCTCAGACCCAGAAGTCCTCAAGATCCTGATTAAGGTAACAAAGACAAGTGTGAAAACTGAAAGTTTACAGACAAAACTGAAAGGGAACAAATGTGTCCCTTCTTCCCACCAGATCGTGTCTCGATACGACATCATCCTGATCCTGGAGGTGGTTGACATCCGTGGAGACTCTGTAAAAACCTTCCTGGATGCGCTGAATGCGTGAGTGCACGCTTTGTTAATGCATTTTTATTATCACTAAATCAGGATGCTGTAGAGCCTTGAAGCTGCATTCTGTGTAGTGACCAGCAGGGGGCGACTCCTCTGCTCCCATAGACGTCTATGAGGAAATGACTCTACTTCTCTGTAGTGACCAGCAGGGGGCGACTCCTCTGCTCCCATAGACGTCTATGAGGAAATGACTCTACTTCTCTCTTGATTTATTCCCTCAGTAAACATTGTATACATGAGTTTATGGTCTCAGTCTCTAGTTTCAAGTCTTTAGTAAAGTGTCCATCCAGCGTCAAATAGGACTGAAAACATGTGATACTAAAGACGAAATGCAGAGGCTGATGGGAATCTCGTCATTTTGATCCAATCAAACAGAGAATCTGAACCTCGTGGTGGCGCGAGAGGAAAAGTAGAAGAATCCCAAAAGTCATTAAAAATCACTTAATCCGAAATAAACCCCATCTGTCCAGAGCCAACAGGGAGCATCACTACACCCTGAAGATCAGCAGTCGCCTGGGCCGCAAGCGCTACAAGGAGCAGTTCATGTTCCTGTACAGGTGAGAGCTCACCTGCAGATCCTCACTGATTCCCAAGTAGTGAGGTCCAAACGAAGACCCGGAGATGAGGTAAACAGATCGAAGCCCGAACAAAGGCTTTGTGGATCCTCATTGCTTGATTAGCTTCGTATTGAGCCTCCCATCAGCAGCGTGGGTGTGTGTGTGTCTGTGTGTGTGTGTGTGTGTCTGTGTGTGTGTGTGTGTGTGTGTATGTGTGTGTGTGCAGGGAAGACCAGGTGAACTTGGTGGACTCCTACCAGTTTGATGACGTGGAGGCTGACGGAGGAGACGTTTTCGCCAGAGAACCCTACATCCTGCGATTCAGATGCCTCAATACAGGTAAGAGGTTCAGTGCTCTCCTCAACAACGTGTTACCAGACCTGGTTTTGGTGTGACCCCCCCCCACACTCCCCCCCCACAGTGCTGAAGGACCTGGTGATGATCCCCGTTCACACCAAACCAGATGACTCGGAAAAGGAGTTGGACGAGCTTTACGACGTCTTCCAGCACGTCCAGAAGAAGTGGAAGACCGATGTGAGGAAGCAAGATGATCAACTGATAGTTATATTTTACGTGAATATAAATATGTATAAAAATGTATATATATATAAAAGGCTAATGACAGCTGAAGTTGTTGTGATATTAGCTAAAAACAATTGTAAAAAGGTCAGTGGATAAGTTATTGACATGAAATAGTGAAACATAATGAAAATAAGGCGGTAAAATATAGCGAGAAGCTTTAGGAAAATGGCTGAAACTTAAGCGCAAACTCAGACAAACTATCCTAAAATATTAACAATACTAATAATTCTTAACGGAACCATGAAATCATCCGAAGAACAACAGCAAGAGAAATAAAATGTCAGTTTGGTTTGATTTGACGTCTGCAGAACGTGATGATCCTCGGCGACTTCAACGCGGACGGCCTCTACGTCTCCAAGAGGAAGATGAAGCGCATCCGTATCCGTAGCGACAAGAACTTCCACTGGCTGATTGGAGACGACGTCGACACCACGGCGAGCACCGCAAACGACCACACCTACGACAGGTACACGCACGTGAAACCAACACAACAGTTAAATGGAAAGTGATTTGCTGTACAAAGTAGAGCTGTTTAAATTAGCTCCAGCTGTTAGTTTAGAAAAAAAGAGTACAAACCTGTCACCAGTATTTATGCTAAGCTAACCTAAGAGTAGACTATGAAGAGTATAAACCTGTTACCAGTCTGTATGCTAAGCTAAGCTAAGAGTAGACTATAAAGAGTATAAACCTTTTACCAGTCCTCATGCTAAGCTAAGAGTAGACTATAAAGAGTATAAACCTTTTACAAGTCTTTATGCTAAGCTAAGAGTAGACTATAACGAGTATAAACCTTTTACCAGTCTTTATGCTAAGCTAAGAGTAGACTATAAAGAGTATAAACCTTTTACTAGTCTTTATGCTAAGCTAAGCTAAGAGTAGACTAAAAAGAGTATAAACCTTTTACCAGTCTTCATGCTAAGCTAAGCTAAGAGTAGACTATAAAGAGTATAAACCTTTTACAAGTCTTTATGCTAAGCTAAGAGTAGACTATAAAGAGTATAAACCTTTTACCAGTCTTTATGCTAAGCTAAGCTAAGAGTAGACTATAAAGAGTATAAACCTTTTACTAGTCTTTATGCTAAGCTAAGCTAAGAGTAGACTATAAGGAGTATAAACCTTTTACCAGTCTTTATGCTAAGCTAAGAGTAGACTATAAAGAATATAAACGTTTTACCAGTCTTTGTGCTAAGCTAACTAACTGCTGGGTTTAGCTTCACATGTACATACATCACATTTAGGTTTCAGAAAAAGAATGTCGCCTCAAAAGTGTCAAACTATTTCTGTAACTGAATTGTGAAAGTGAAAACAAGTGACACTCGTCTACTTTCTAAAGGTTTTCCTGCTCGTTGGTTTGCGTTACTGTCTCTGGGTTCTAGATAAATCTGTTTTTAGTTTTTGTTTCATGTGTCCTTGTGTATCTTAACTGGATTTATTGTATTCATAGCAGGGTTGTTTCCAAGTACAACCTTTGTACTATGAGTAAAGTCCCCGCTGTGTCTCTTTGCAGGATCGTAGTCTACGGAGACGACATGTTGGACGCTGTTGTCCCCGACTCCGCCAAACCCTTCAACTTCCAGGAGGCCTACGGACTCAACAGAGAGCAGGTCGGGTGGTTTCTTCTCAGGAATCAGGAATCAGGAAACATTTATTGCCATAATATGTCAGACTTACAAGGAATTTGACTTGGCGGTCGGTGCGTAACAGCAGACAGTACGACAATGGACGACAAGACAACAGTGCACGAGGAATAAAATAATGCTATGGGTTAGTTTAAAATAAAGGAATAAAAGTTAAAGTAAAAAAAATAAAGTGCATCGGCGAAGAGAAAGTGACAGGTGAAATTGACGGTGGAATATCAGAGTCAGTCAGTGGGGGACCGGGCTCTGTCGATGAGCCCGACTGCCGACAGGAAGAAACTGTTCGTGTGGCGGGAGGTCTTAGTCCTGATGGACCTCAGCCTCCTGCCAGATGGAAGGGGCACAAACAGTTTTTGTCCGGGGTGGGAGGGGTCGGCTACCATCTTTTTAGCTGCTTCAGAGACCTGGAAGCGAACAAGTCCTGCAGGGACGGCAGATTGCAGCCGATCACCCTCTCTGCAGAGCGGAGGACGCGCTGCAGCCTGCCCTTGTCCTTGGCTGTGGCTGCAGCGTACCAGACGCTGATGGAGGAGCAGAGGATGGACTCCATGGCCGTGTAGAAGTGCATCGTCTGCTCTCACTTCCAAAGGCTGCAAATTATTTTCTAAGAAACGTCATTTCTTTATATCACACCTGCAGTCGGTTGCAGGTTGCGCCTCCTCTCCTTTTCTTATTTGGAGCACCAGCAGCATGTGATACGTACTAAGCGCGTTGATCTGGTTAACATGACAGGTGAATTAACTCCAGCGAGCATCTAGACTGCGACTGGAGGACGAACGTCCTGATGCATTATATAATATTCAATAACATTATAACGATTTACAGACGTGCTGCCTCAAGTATTCTTCTGTTAGCTAACAGGACAACAAAATGTGTCTTCCAGACTGTGAAGGTGAGCGACCATTACCCCGTAGAGGTGGAGCTGAAGTCCACGGCGCGGCCCGGGGGGGCAGACGAGCACCTGCTGGAGCTGAAGAGGGGGAACCTGCTGCTGGAGAGGGAGAAGCTCGGCCTGGAGATCCAGATTCTGCGGCTGAAGAAGGCCAAGATGAACCGCGAGGGTGAACTTTGAACCCCGAAACCCCCCCACACACACACACACCGGATGGGGCAATAAACCCCAACTTGAACACTGATCACCTCCGGAACCACAGCTGCCTCCAGATGTTCACCTCTTTACCTCACCAACGAGAACTCGTTGCGACTGAATCAAGCGTCATCTTGTTGAAATAAATGATTTTATTTACTGTTAAATTGGCTCCTGTGTACATATGTCATATTAAGGTGATCTGCAGAAACCCAAGAAGTGTCACAATACACAATACCAGGATTTAGTGGTTATTTTGACTCATCCCAGTTTATTCACATTTATTTTGGTTATAAAATGATTGATGGTGTCATTTTACTCATGAGTATTGCGAAAGACAAAAAGCTTTTATTTTTTCATTTGACGGCTGGCAGACAGGAGTCTGGACGCAATGGAGGCTTCACAATACAATACTAGTTTTATTAGAATGAAATGTAGCATTTACATCAGATGTTCTAATACCTTTGAAAACATACTCTGACAGATGTTATTTTTGAATGACAGTAAACGGGTTTTTCATAAAATGGATTTCTGTAAACCAGGAAACCTCTACACTGAAGTAGTTTAATCGGCAAATTAGTAATTTAAATGGTGGATAACGGAGATTTAAAACAATCGATCATTTCTGCTTGAAGGTTTTGAATCTTGAGATCATTTCCAATTACAGAAATAAAAGCAGTAAATACAAAAACTTTATTAGCATCTCATCCACTTACAATACATAACAAATCTGAAAATAAAGAACTCTGGGTGATGTGTTAAAGTTTTACATGGAAATAAAACTAAGTCAGGATTCATCCCCATTCCTTAAACTGCAGATCTGGGTGTGAACAGCAAAAGCACACCGGAGTCTTCTCGGCCAGGAGGCGCAGCGGCGAAGAGTCGGCGCTTACTTCTTACCAGACTTCTTGATGCCGCTGCTCCCTGGAGGAGGAACAAAAAACATTATTGTTATTACTATTGTGTGAGCCTGAGAAAACCTGTAATATGAGTAGATTTGTGTTGTTTTGGTTAGATGTACATTACAGAGTTGCACAACAATCAGTGTTCCCCTTTACCATTATAACAGGGGGTGCGACCCGAAACTACTCGCTCCGAAAAAAAAGCAAACTCTTGTAAAGTACCTAAAAAGGACCCGAGTGAACCCAGTTTAACTGGTGAGTATCACATGAAGAGGGAAATGTAAGACGTGTGTCTCATTGCGGCGGGACGCCCTCCTGTTCTCACCTAGAGGTCCTTTGCCGGAGGCTTTGGCCTTCAACGCCTCCATGGCCTTCTGGTCGTCCTTTTGCTTCTGCTTAAAGGCGACGTCGTCCTGCAGACACACAAAGAATGTTGTGCGGTGTTAGAAACGAAGGAGCACAGAATGCGAACATGGACTCAGGAGCTGCAGGCGGTCTTTGTTTAAACAACATTCTAGAATTGTTGACAAAATAAATACAATTGATGATGAAAATAACGGTCTGATGACACTTACGTCATCCATTTCCTTGGACTGTTTCTTTGGCGCCTTCAGCGGTTTCTTTTTGCCTCCTATGGAGAATAAAATAAGTTGTTAACAGCTCAATTGGAAATAAGGCACGAACGCATCGTTCTTAACTCTTCTGATACATCTGAACATTTATTTAGCTTTTCAGCAAACATCGTTAGAAATTAGATAGCCGCATAATAGATTTTATTAACGTTAGATATGATCCATTCGTGCATCAATCAGTGACCAGTGAACACAGAAGCCTACGATGGAGTTCCACCATAAAATATACGAGTATCAACGTTACATTTTTATTAAAAAATAGCTCGGACGTTGCTGAAAATTGGCCTTTGGAAGACACTTTACATGCCGAATGCGCCACAGGACCGCAGTCCTTTGTAAGCCACAAAAGTGTTTTGTTACGCGTATATTTCAGGATAGAAACCACAGATACGTAAAAGCGGCAGACGTTGAATGTAGTCTGGTGAACACGATCTCGCGCGTCAGACTCTTTGCTAGCCGTTAGCTTGCCAGCTAACGCGCTCGGTAAAACATGGCGCGATGCGCTTTGTCACGTTGCCTTTTATTCATGGCATTCAAACCAAACGATGTCTCACCTTCTCTGCCGGACATGTTTCAAACTCTCGGTGGATTGAAGGAACGGAATACACGTTGTTGTTTCAGCTGCGAAGACTTCTTTCTAATCCGCGCCGTCAGGACCCCAGCGAACTCTCAACCGGAAATAGAAAGACGCTTCATGTGCCTGAACGTAAATGAGCTCTTTCATTTGACATCAGGATGCTAACTAGTTAGCTCGAGTTAGCCCAGAAAAAACTTCGTCGGTGTGCCATGTGGGCCCTGACAACATTAAACAAATCAGGTATGTGTGTTTTCCACACTTGTTGTATGATTTTAATTGTCACTAACCTTTTTTAGACAACAAATGCATCTGTTTACCGGTAAATGTTAGCAACGTGTGGCTAAAAGGTAGTTAGTGATGAAGCAGAGTAGTGAAGCTAACAATCAGATAACCTTGAAGGAAAATGTATGTTTAGCGTTAAAGTGTACTTATATCATTGATATCTGTAAATGTGTTTTCCTCCATTGGGTTGTCTTGTCTGTTTGTTGTCAGTATTACTAAGTTGTGTATGTTAACTACAGCAGAGGAGGAAGTAGTCAGACCAGGTGACTCTGCTAACGTTACCACTGAAAGCAATGCAAGTATATCATTAAAATAAAGGGAGAAGGAACCTTAGTCAAAGCATTCGTGTAAAAGCAGTATCGTACTTTTATAACTTGTTAGACGTGGAGCTTTGTTTTCATCTGCTGAATGTTTTTCCCATAAATTAATTTACTGCTTTAGAAAATAAAAAGATAATCACAGTTACCCAAAGTCCAAACTGACACAATGTTTGCTTTGTCCAACATTAGTCAACAAAACACAATAACGGGATTACAGTTACAGGAAAAACAGGAAGGTCTTCACATTTGAGAAGCTGGAAACGTTCAAGGAGGGATGTATTTTACATTACATTACAGGTCATTTAGCAGACACTTTTATCCAAAGCGACTTACATTACACTTTAAATGTATTTGTCTTTATAATGTATACATGGTTGCTCAAATACATTGCTGTGCTCTGAGATGCAGTTGATTAGAAGAAGAAAAGGTGTCGTGAACAGTAAATACAAGTATAAGTACCTCACATCTGTTCTCAAATACATTATTTGAGTTAGCAAGTAGTTATCCAGTGATAGAGAACACGTTAATCAACCATTTCAACTTGTTTTCCTCACAGACGTCCGTTCCGGTGTCGAATGTGTTTCTGCGGTGAAATCAAGTCTTTGAGAGTTCTTCTGTCTGCTGCCGTCCTCGATGAGGTATTTATGCACAACGCAGCACCTGAAGCTTCTCTGCCTTCCCTTCGACCCGGAGAAGTCAACGCCGCTTGAAGTCAAATTTCCGACTCTAGAAAGTTTGACAAACCCAACGGCCACGACCCCAGAATGCGAGATGGTCAACGCTTCTGTTTCATCTGCGTCTCGACGCTGATGATTGACAAAGAAACTCGATCGCAGCTTTGATCGCTGTTCTTTAGTAAATGTCCTCGCTGCGGGAATGAAACGTCTGATTGTAACACGCGTTTCTCCCAGCCTGAGTTCGCCGTTGATGCTCTACGTGATGTCTGTTGTATTATAACTACAGAGAAACAAACTTAACAAAGACTCTAAAAGAGGACAAATCTAACTCGTAAATATGCCCTGTGGGAGACTGTGGATGTCGCCTAAACTAACATCTGATCAACCGATATGTAAAGTCTCCAAAATGATCATTTGTTTACTAGTGAAATGTTCACATGTCCGTTGGAAACCAGAATAATCCTGTTAATCCAATACCAGAAGGGGGGCGGAGCTAATCCACATCATGTTAACAGGTACCGGGGGGGTCTGATCTGCGTCCGCGCTGGAGCCTCGTGCCGTCTGTCCCGCCTCCCCCTGCATGGACGTGGACATCAGCCCAGCACAGCCGCTCCGGTCCGAACCTACACTGCTCAACAACTGCCCGCCCCCCCGACACCCACTAACCCCCCCCCTCCCGATGGGAAGGGCGCGGCCACGGTGGTGAAGGAGCGCGCCCTGCTGGCGTTACAGGTGCAGGAAACGACCACCGCCTCATCCACGCTCTAGCGACCATTTTGTAATAAACGTGTAATTATTCAAACTAAATTTGTGTTCCCGCCTGTCTCTCCCTCCTCCAGCATGCAGGCGAGTTGGGGCGGCAGTGGGGTCAGAGGTCGGCCCAGGTGGCCACCGCCTCGGCCAACAACTGGTGGGGGAGGTACGAGGAGTTTGTCGGGCTCAACGAGGTCCGTGTGGCCCAGACCAAGGTCACCGAGGTCAGTAAGAAGCAGGAAGCCGTTTACATCTGGGATAGTGTGTGTGTGTGCGTTTGTAGTCCTTGAAACAAATCTGCAGAGTGAGCATCTAGACCGCGAGTGTGTGTGTGTGTGTGCGTGTGTGTGTGTGCCTGCCTCTTCCAGGCCGAGGCGGCCTTCATGGTGGCCAGAGGGATGGTGCGTGAGGCTCACGGCAGCCTGGAGGCCCTGCAGGTCCGGCTGAAGGAGGTCAGGGACCGGCTGGACCGGGTCTCCAGGGAGGAGGCTCACTACCTGGAGCTCGCCACGCAGGAGCACAAACTGCTGCAGGTAACGATCCGTGAAGATGGAAAGTCAAAGCAGCCCACAGAGAGCTGTGGTTTCATTCAGTAAACATGAAGTTGAGTGTTTACCTTAATGAATTAACAGTATTAGACTGCGTGTGAACGTACGTAATGAATAATGACCAGCAGGTGGGTTCAGGACTCATTACCGCTGTCACCATGGTTACCAAATGACCACGGGTTGGTAGTTCGACAGCTTTCAGAGTTAGTTCTAACTGAACGCAACCAGTCGGCCCACGTGTTCCTCAGAGGACGTACCTGTGTGTGCAACACGCCCGTTGACTCCTCGCTCCTTCCTCCTGACGTCAAGGAGGAGCGGCGCCTCCGTACGGCCTACGAGAACGCCGAAGGTTCCGAGAGGGAGAAGTTTGGCCTGTTTTCCGCCGGCGTCAGGGAGAGCCACGAGAAGGAGAGGACGAGGGCGGAGCGCACCAAGAACTGGTCCGTCATCGGCTCGGTGCTGGGCGCCCTCATCGGGGTCATGGGGTCCACGTACATCAACCGCGTCCGCCTGCAGGTAACGTTTCCTCCATCGGAAATCAATCAGGATTTATATTTTGGTGACGTCTGTTCGTCCTCTGAGTTATTCCCCCGTTCCGTGCATCCGAGGCGTTTATCCGTATCGGCGCGTCGGCAGGACACCACTGCGCTTCGATCGCTGTCCCGGCTGATGCGCCCTCACCTCCTCCCCCCGTAGGAGCTGAAGAGTCTCCTGCTGGAGGCCCAGAAGGGTCCTGAGAGCCTGCAGGAAGCCCTGAGAGTCCAAGCCGGAAACCACCGCTCCCAGCAGGCCGAGCTCCGGGCCATCATCGACCGCCTCGGGGGCGCCCTGGGCAACGCCCTCGCTCAGCGGGACGTCCACCCTGGAGAGAAGAGTGCCCTCACGCCAACGTCGGCGCCCGCGGTGCCCCTCTCGGCCCTGAGAGACCTCCAGGCCGGCAGCCGGAAGGCGGAGTCCATCCTGGAGGCCCTCCGGCCGCAGGTGGGGCAGCTGGAGCAGGGCCTCGGGCGCGTCGAGGGCGAGTTGACGTCGGTGAGGAGGCTGTTGGAGACCAGAGCGCACGCCGCTCAGCACGCCGCTCAGCACGCCGCTCAGCCACAGGTAGCAGCCCCCGTGAGGCCACAACCCCCGGAGCGAGAGGACCGGTGGGAGGCGGAGGCGGCGGTGAGGCGTCTAGAAGACACCCAGACGACGCTGGGAGAGCGAATCAGGACAAACAATCTTTACAACGCCGTGTTCACCTACACCGCCACCGCCATCACCATCTCTGCCGTCTACCTGCTGACCAAAGGAACCGGTTAGACTGGATGCCGGCGTGCCTCCTCATGGGAGTGATGATCTAAGTGATTCGCGTCAGAATTGACTTGACAGGAAGTAACGTAGTTTCTATAATAAACGTACCGGAGTTCATCTCCTGCTGCTGCTGTTCGACTCTTTGATATTTTTAATTCTGTGACCTGCAGATAAAAGTGAACTGAAATGAATTGTTTGCCATCACGTCGATTAGCGTGCGTCATTTTAATCAGGACTTTCCCAAATAAAGCACATCTTGTAAAAGATGATAAAATCACCTCTTTAAAGTTCTTCTGTTAACCGTAAAACGTCGCTGATTAACCGACAAATGGAGCCCTGGACTCTGTGTGCTGATTTACGGAGTTTATGACGTGTGGATGATGAAGCAGGACCAACCTTCAGACGAGGCTGAAAACGGGAACCAGATGTGTTTGTGCCTTTTTCTTTTGATTTACTGTTTTTGTTTCATAAGCTGAGGAGGACGAGGTATCGCATCTGTTCACCATCTCACATCTACAAATTATGGGCGTTCAGGAATATAAAGTGTGGCGTTCCACACATTTTCGCAGCCAATTTGAGAAAGTCCATCCACAGTAAAAAAAAAAGTTCTGTTACGTGAGAAGGTTCACGGTCGCTGACCTCCAGTACTTGAATGTATTGTGTTTGTCATGTTGTTAATCATCACATTCTCATTCTGTTCTGCAAAATATGAAGTGTAATGTTTTAAAATGTTCATTCTCTGTAGTGACCAGCAGGGGGCGACTCCTCTGCTCCCATAGACGTCTATGAGGAAATGACTCTACTTCTCTGTAGTGACCAGCAGGGGGCGACTCCTCTGCTCCCATAGACGTCTATGAGGAAATGACTCTACTTCTCTGTAGTGACCAGCAGGGGGCGACTCCTCTGCTCCCATAGACGTCTATGAGGAAATGACTCTACTTCTCTGTAGTGACCAGCAGGGGGCGACTCCTCTGCTCCCATAGACGTCTATGAGGAAATGACTCTACTTCTCTGTAGTGACCAGCAGGGGGCGACTCCTCTGCTCCCATAGACGTCTATGAGGAAATGACTCTACTTCTCTGTAGTGACCAGCAGGGGGCGACTCCTCTGCTCCCATAGACGTCTATGAGGAAATGACTCTACTTCTCTGTAGTGACCAGCAGGGGGCGACTCCTCTGCTCCCATAGACGTCTATGAGGAAATGACTCTACTTCTCTGTAGTGACCAGCAGGGGGCGACTCCTCTGCTCCCATAGACGTCTATGAGGAAATGACTCTACTTCTCTGTAGTGATTTATTCCCTCAGTAAACTCTGGTCTCTAGTTTCAAGTCTTCTTCAATACAGCACGATGCTCATTTAGTACATTATGGTCGCCATGTAACACGTCATGTTATTATTACTCTTAATGTCAAAATAGCTGCCAGGAAAACGACCTAGA